CAGCTATTAATTTAAAGGGGACAGTCTGCTGAACAGTTCTACTATAAGCTGATGGTCGCTAAAGCGACCATCAGCTTATAGTAGAACTGTAAATGCCAGGTCCGTACGGCATACTGAGCTGGCCAGCTGGAAGCACTTTTGTAGCTCCGTACGCCGTACGTCCTTGGCAGCGAAAGGGTTAAATACCACAAAATAAATCTCTATCTGTCCCCAAAAAAAAGGGTATAAAATTCATTTCAGTACAGCGTTGCATGACAGAATAAATGTCAAAGTACCGCAGCACTGAATACTGAAAAATGGCCTGGATGGGAAGGGGGTTTAACCCCCCCGGACTTCAAGTGGGTAAAAGGGGAATATCGAAGGGCTGTTTAGACCCCTAATACTTCCCCAAAGCCCCCCCAGTTTGCTCAGGTAAGATGTGAAAATGAGACAGAGAAGCTGATTGGTTGCAGTGCAAATCTGCTCCAGATTTTGTCAGCCCGTTTGGATAAATTCTATGGATTTCATTTAGACCTTCCACAAAAATGGAAGACACCATTTATTCACAGTCCAGCCTCAAAAAAAACATTTGAAAAATACTTGTGTACACGTTCCCCAAAATATGCATTTTCACACATTACCAACGATATAGAAGATAAACAACCCCGTGTCACATAAGCGTACAACGCCAGTAATTCTACAGAATCTCGCTATTAAATTGAACGTCATAAAACGAGAATTGCGTTCTTACCGCAAGAAGCCGATATATTCTTCTCCATCGAGCAATACCCGGGCCCTGCTCACCCACTCTTGGGGCCTCACTCCAGGCACGACGGCTCGGCCTTCCACCTTAAACTTATCTCCTCCAAACCCCGGGTTTAATATCTCAGAATCAGATGTGCACAGCGACGAGAAAGCAAACATTATCAGTAAGCTGCACCAACGAACTGTAGAGCTGACATCCATGGCAAAGCACTCTAGCCCGGTTCCCCTGCGTGCGTTCTCAATTAATTGCCGGATCTCGCTACAAGAGGACGCGCTGTCTTAAGGAGGATGTGACTTAATTTCTTCAGCAGAATACGGAGGCCTTCGAGAAAATGGCCGCCGTCACTGATTTATGCATAGCTGTAAACTGCTACTGTGGTGGTTTACAGTACACTCAAAGGGAAAAAATATTTGACTGTGGGCCCATTGCAATTGTAATTTGTGACAAATTTAGATCACTTCATGTCAGTTGCTTTAACTTTTTCAGTATTTAGCATTGAGGTATTTTGACTGAGTTATTTATTCAGTCATGCAATATCGTACCAAAATGATTTTATATAATTTTTGTAGGACAGATAGAGCTCTCTTTGGCATTTAACCCTTTCGCTGCCAAGCCCTCCAAAACATTTTTCAATTCAGCTGGCCATGCCATTTTTGCAATTTTTTCCCATTGATTTTCAACTGCTGCGTTGCTAGCGTTTGTAAAGGATCCCCCAAACCATATATTTTCTGAAAGTGCAGGCCCGGTAGAATAAAAAGATGGTGCTACTAAATTTGTAGGCCCTGTGATAATTGCGCAAATGTTTCTCAAATTAATATTAAACCGATAAAAATACACAATTCAATTGATAAAGCACTAAAATCAGTATCGGTGCACCAAAAAAAATATTTGCTGACTAAATCTAAAAGATAAAACTGTATTGAGTTAATAAATAAAAAATATATGCAAATTTGAAATTGCGCCTTTTTGCGAAAAGGTAAACAAATTACGGTACGCAAAACTGTAAATAAGCGACTTATGTTAAAAAATTGTTTTTATGCTGTGCTGGTGTTTGTGTTGTGATAAAATGATACAGGCAAATATTTAGTTGCAACACAAAGATCACAACGCATGGCAATGTGTCAAAAAGGTTTGCCATGCGCTGCCACAGTTAATTTTTTATTTTTTTTTAAAGAAAAAAAAAACATTAAAAAAATCATGCACTGCGATGCGTTCTAACAATGCACTATGTACACCTCAATATGTGTATGGGGGAGGGAGGGGTTGTGCTTTGTTGTTCCTTTTTTGTACACATTTTTTGTTTACATTTTTTTATTTTTTTTTCATTTGAGGTTTTTTTACATTTTCTATTTATTTTTTAATCATTTTTTTGTACTGTTGGGGGAGCTGCGGGGAAATATCTGGGGTCTAAATAGACCCCTGACATTTCCCTTTTGAAATAGAGTCCTCAATTTCTTTTTCTGCAGCCCCAGCACTCAATGAATGGGAAGCACTCAGTACAGAGGCTTCCCATTCATTCTGAAACTGATGATAGCAAAATATTTGCTATCACCAGTTTATGAATGGGGAGGAGTCACTGTAGTGAGTGCTACTCCCCATTCATAAATTCTTGAATGAACAGGAAGTGATGTCAATCACAGCCTGTTCATTCATAACTGGGGACACATAGTACTATGTGTCCCCAGTTATTTACAAACACCGGAGTGATCAGACGATCAATCTGGGGTTTGCTCTGCACAGAGGGATTGTTAAATATCAATGATATTTAAAGGGGTTCTAAAGCCTCCCGTTGTTTGGCCTATATCTACTGCTGACAAGCAGTAGATATAGGCAAAAAGTTGTTTTGTTTTAAACGCTTAAACAGCGGTTTAGACTAACCTCATTATCGCTGCACACTCCCGTGGCGAGAGTCTGGAACTGTTCGTGCGGCCGCAAAGGATCTTGGGGCGGACGCATGTGCAGTTCGGATTCTCGGCCGGGGGGCGAGCAGAGACGCAAGGTAAGTCTATGGACGCGTGCACCTGCCTGCAGACACCGCTGGATCGGAAGTGCCTGTAAGCAGAGAGGAGTCAGCACTGGATTGGAGGGCCGCCGCACCGCTGGAGGGACAGATGAGAACATGGGGAAAGAAGAGGAAGATCGGATTAAGAGACATAATTTAAGGTAAGTGCTGACATTAACATGGGGGGGAGGGGAAAAAAATTATCCTTTAATGTCACTTTAACGTTCCACGCTCGGCCACGCTACAGAGCCGCTGTCATACGAAAACTCACAGGATGACAGCGGCTCCGATCAGAACACCGCTCGGCCATCCTGGATTGCGCTCGACCCTCCCCCCCACCGGCCAATTTTCATCGGATCCTACAAGTGGGGGACAGCAGCTGGGATCCATGGAGTCTCTCATCCCTGCATGGAGTAGCTTTATCTGGCGACAGGTAAGTCGCCAGGATCGCTTCTGTTGTAAAGCCGACAGTCGGCTCTACAAGTTTAAACAGAGTCCCGGTGGCAAAAGTCGCCGGGAGTCTGTTTAAACAGCCCCGATGCTGGCGACGTACACTGTACGTCGTCAGTCACGAAGGGGTTAATTACCGCTGTTTTTTTTTTTTCTATGTAGTGCTCACCTCTTAAGGAGCCACTGGAATAATCGGGTCCTTCTGTTCCCCCCTGTGACAGACCTTTTTCAATGGATCCACCGCACAACAGCGAGGTTTGAAAGGTTTTAATAGTCAGCAATGTACTTATTTGTTAAAGGCATAAACAATAGACACAATGATGAATATTGACATATAACAGAAAGCAATATAATGTTCAGACAGATACTGACTCTACTACCTATCTGACCTATCACACTGTACTGAACTGACTGTAAATAAACTCCTGACGAGTGGTGAAGGAAAATGTACAGTCCAAGTAGAACGGGTCTTAAACCTGATGACAAGTGGTATTGAACTAGTCTATGCTCAAACTCTTCCGGTAGAGTTGGTTTGAACACAATAATATAGTGGCCACTTACCTGTCCTGATGTGGAGCTAGGAGCCCACTGTTCATTAGCGAGGAAAGAGGCATCCCCGTCTCCTCCAGCCAACTTTACTTGGTCCGCACAGCTCTCTAGTGTAATGCTGTAGCAATACTTCCTTTTACCTGATTTGGATCTCCGCTGCGGAGGACAAATGGGAGCGACTCGCCACAATTACTGCTGGTGAAAGGAAATTTGTTTTTTTGGGAAATTGTATTTCTTCATAAAGTAAGTATCATAACTTGAGAGAAAAAAATAAAGTTAATCAAAACGTACACGGGTATATTACTTCATACTGTTGTGGGAATCTGTTTGGGCTGTGCGCACAAATCTCCGCTGCACTAAGAAGTACACTTTTGGATATCAATGTACGCCAAGCGCAATTAATTCCGTTGCACTTAAAAGCACGTTGTATTCAGCTCTTTGGTATAAGGAAATGAAGTACTTTGGTAGTGCCAGGTAGAGTCAGGCAAGACTCTGATTCAAGCTGGAGGCTTAGTGTGGAAGTCCCGTCTTGACCACAAGCTCCTCTGTTTATTAAGCGGCAAAAGGATAACGCCCAGAGGGAGATGGCTTTACAACATCAACCAATCAGCTCCAAAATGTACAGTTACATAACAGATGCTGGTCCGGTAGACTCAGCCAATGGAACCCTCACAGATATAAAGTAACAAAATAAAAGGGGAGTTCTCCAAAGTGAATGCGCAGAGAAGTGTGCATGACTCACTAATGCTGGTGCACGCAAATGTGCGCACCTTTGTTAAACAAAGGAACCACGTGCAGTGGAATTCGCACCATTAGACTATGATGTGCTGAGTCATGTTCATTGCCCCGATCGGCCAGGAGTATGTACACCCGCCATCTTAGCCAGCATGGACCCCATTCAACACTGCTCAAAATGACCAGTATTTATTAAGATCATTCTATTTGTTCTTACAGATTTGATACTATCTGCGGAGACATTGCTAATGCTATTGCCAATGTACGGTACCAGTACACTAGCAAGGCATAAATCAATGTCTTCTCATAAAAGCAGATATGTATCCAAAAAGGATAGCGTAGCCGCAATAGAAATATAATACGTTTTGTTATGGGAATTCGCTTGAGCTGTGCGAACAAATCTCTGCTGCGCTAAAAGGTACACTTTCGGTATCAAAGTGTGCCAAGCACAAATATTTCCGTCGCGCTTAAAAGCACGTTGTATTCAGCTCTTGTATAAGGAAAAGAAGTACTTCGGTAGTACTAGGCAGAGTCAGACAAAACGCTGATTCAAGCTGGATGCTCAGTGTATCTGCCCTGTCTTGGCCGCAAGCACCTCTGTTTATTAAGCAGCAAAAAGGTTAACGCCCAGAAGAAGATGGCTTTACAACATCAGCCAATCAGCCCAAAATGTACAGTTACATAACAAAAGAAAAGGGGAGTGCATTACTCACTAGTATTAAACAAGGGAACCAAAAGCAGGAAATTTGCGCCATTAGACTATGATGTGCTGAGTCATGTTCATTGCCTTGATCAGCCAGGTGTATGCACATCCGCCATCTTAGCCAGCATGGACCCCATTCAATACTGCTCAAAATGACCAATATCTATTAAGATCATTCTATTTGTTCTTACAGATTTGAGACTATCAAGGCACTAGCAAGGCATAAATCAATGTCTTCTCATAAAAGCAGATATGTATCCAAAAAGGATAGCGTAGCCGCAATAGAAATATAATACGTATCTCTTGTTATGCAGACTCCGCTTTGCTAATGTGCATAGACGTCCGCCGGCAATAAGCCCAGCGCATTGCGCTTGATACTCACAAACCGGCAAACGTGTACATACACTGCGAATACGTCTCCAAGCCCATAAGAAGGTTTTCATACTGACGGTTTTACCGCTGGTCCCGATTCAACCCAAGTACGCTCTGCTAAAACGTCCCTGGGTTGAATCCGACACAGGGAGACAGATGACAACCTATAGAACACACACATAAATATGTCAGAATGTTTATACTGCTCTGATATACAGTTCTATTTATGGAAACAATTAAAAATCTATGGTTAAGGAGATTCCCAATGTATTTCCAAAAAATTTACGCGAGTTCTTTCATTTGCGCTGACTTCGAAGACAAGAGGAATACCAAAGTATACAAAATATAGATATTTATTTATCAAAAATCAGTGCAAAAATAATAATAAAATA